GGCCCAGCTGGGGCAAGGGGGTGCAGGATGAAGGTGTGGCTTGCTCCGGGCGGGTGCAGTAGCGCTGGGAGCAGGGGCTGTGCCCTCCTGCCACTGAGCGCTGCTCATCCAGAAGCAGCACAGCGGCTCTGTTCTGCCCCTGCCTGGAGTGAGCTGCCCCTTCATCCCATGGCCGCCGCGCTCCCCTTCTCTTCCCCCCCTGCCTGGGCCAGCGGTGGCAGAGCATAGCCCTTGCTTCCAGCACTGCTGTGCCAGTGCAGAATGTAGCGTGGTGCAGCCCCACGCAGATCGGGGGGGACGACCCCCCCCCGGTGCCCTCACAGACCAGTGGCACGCAGCGGTGGGAGCCACCTCCCCACACCAATCTCTGTGCCCCCTGAATGAGCTGCTCCTTCATTCTCCCCTCCTTCCCCCGGCTGGGCAGCGCTTGCCTCCTTCGCTGCCAGGGCATTAATCTGCCCCCTCCCTTTCCACCACAACAGATTTACCATTCTTACTAGCTGTATCGAGCATTGTAAAGTTGAAACCTGTGTCGGAACCTCAAAACAAGGTGTCTATTTAGAAAGGTTGTAAGTGGTGTTCATCGGAACTCGGAATGTCATAAGTTGAGGATTGCCTGTATTTCTCAGTGCTCAGCTTCTGAAGCTTGCAGGCACTACAAAGACATTACACTAAGCGTCAGAGCAGAAATTAGTTGTTCCCCAGCAAAAGAAAGCATGCACCTTCTTTGCCTTGATACTTGTGTAGCCCCTGTGCTGTACTGCGGATCTCACCCATTCCCAATTGCTGTCTCATTCTGCTTGGTAGGAGGCATCTTTCTGGGTTCTGTCTTTCAAGTCAGAGATGACCTGAGTAGAAGGGCTTGGCCAAAGGTCCATATGGAAACAGCCTAAAGGCCTTCATGCAGACAGTTTTCTCAATCTGCTTCTCTTCTGGATGCTTGCCATTCTCTCAGCTGAGAAGCAAGTGTAGCTGTCAAGTGGTATATTAACCAAATAGCTTAGCCTTATGGACACAGATAGAGCAGGGTGGGAAGGAAGCACAAAGCTGACTTCAGACTGACCTTTTGCTGTCCCTCTTCAGAGCAGCCTGGTGGAAGAGTACTTTGAAGCCCACAGTAGTTCCAGAGTTGTAACCTCTGATCGAACCCTTCAGAAGCTGCATAGCAGGAAACTAGATCAGGTATGTGTTGTGGTGTGGAGTTTGACTTCCCACAGAATCTAAGGCCTCTCCCACTGCAGACTTTCCTCCTTGAAATTGCCCACTGTTGGTAATGTCAGCTCAACTTCCTCAGGGATAATAATGGCAGGAGCCTTAAGCTAGGCAAAGGGTTAGCAGCATTTGAACAGCTGCATTTCTGACAACCAATGGAATTGAACCAGTTGTAGTCACAATGGAGAAGCTATAGGAAAAAGGCCTACTGAAAACAGGCTGAGAGTTGCACAACTGGGAACGTAGGGGAAGGGCAATGGTTACAGGGAATGGTATTGAAGTCTGCCACCAGCCAGCCTTCTGAGGATGGAGTTTTTGTTTGTTTGTTTGTCTTTTGGTTTTAAGCCACCTACTCCTTCCATATTAATGTAGGAGAATGTTAATGAGGGAGGTAGAAATATAGGTCTCACTTTCCTCTCCAGGTTCCAGTCCCAGCCAGGTAGGGAGCAGCTCACAGGATGATCATCTAACAATTTCTCAGTGGCCCCTGTGTCTGAAATTAGTTCTGTTCTAGTAGCCAGACATGTACATCTGACTATTGGTTACGCTTTACTCTTTCATCGAATGGCCCATTTTATTATATACTCATTTGGGATTGAAAGCATTGCATCAAGGTAGATGTTGGCAGTGCATGCTTCCCTTGTGTCCTGTTAGTAGTACTGATGTATCTGCTCCGTGAGCACATAGCAGACTTTTGTGTCAGGGTTGCCAGTCAAGTTTCTCTGGATAATCTGATCATACGTGTTTTTCATAACATTTATTCAGTAGGAACTCCAGTCTTGCAGTAGTGTCTTTACATTTATTGGAAATATCACAGCTACATCTTGGTTTTCTCTCCAGTAAAGTTTCCTTTTGTATGGGAGTAGGAAACAAATATGTTAAAACCAGAGAGGATGTTAAGTCTGTAAACCTGATGCTATAGCAGTAGTTGTTTTGCTACTAGAATTATTATTGTTCTTCTTAACTTTAACATTAATGCTTTGACAGGCCTCTGAAAAACTTAACCCAGCCTTCCACATTTTTCCTGCATTTTTGACTGCACTTTCTCAGAGGGTAGTTTTGAGCTTTGCACAGATATTTTCTGCTTTGTATTTAAAACTCAATGATTTTTACTGTCTAAAAGTAATGCTTTGTAAACATTCTACCTTTAGTGACTAATGAATTAATGCAAAGCCCATTGACTGAGATGCAAGATATGCCCATTACTAAGAGGGTTGTCATCTTGCTGCTTTATATTTCACTGAATTGTGGAGCTCTGAATGTGTCTGCTTGTTCAATACCAGTGTGCCCAGATGTTGGAAGGGGAACTAGGATAGCAGTACAATTAAAGCATAGATTTTGGTTCTATGCCCAGGTAGGTGTGAATTTACTATGTAAATGTAGTCACTTGACTAGTCAGCCTTATTTTCCCTATCAGCAAAACTGGGCTACTAGGTCACACTGATACCTCACAGGGTGATGTGACGCTTAAATCATTGACACTTGTGACCACTCATTTTAATGGAAAGGACTAGAGAAGCTCACAATCTGTAAGGGTTCTGGTCCTTGAGCCCATGCTTAAACAGATACCTGCTTCATCCTTCTGTTCAGACTTGAACCCAGTATGACTGTCCCATTCTCCCCTCCCCAACACAGCAAACTCTGCGTGACCTCTTGAGTAAGGCTCCCCCTACATTTGGTGCTGAAATGAAAGAGTTAAGTCAACAGTACGAATCCCTGTTTTCCAAATGGATGTTGCATTTACAGTAAGTATCCAATGGAGTTCTCTTAAAAAAAAAAGTATGACGAGTATTAGTTCCCAGCAAACCAACCCATCATTTAATAATGGGCTAGGAAATAAGCTATTCCCTGATTCAGCACTCAAGTCCTAGGTTAAGAAGAATTCATTTTGTAGGACTGAGTCCTTGCAGTATATCTCCTGTAAGTGAAGTTCTGCCTGGTTGATCCTTTTGTCAGCTGAACAGGCTACATTGATGGAGGTGCAGTAACCCCAGCTTTTGTTGATGTCAGTGGGAGCTGAGTGCCCAGCACCTCTGGTCTGACATTAATTAGTTATTTATAAATGGTCAACAGTATTAAGGAGGTGGGAAGGAAATCAAAGAGTCACTATAACTGCCAGTACCACTTTCTGCAGCATTGGTTTGCTGTGGCACTATAGAGGTGACCTTTCTTTGCTTTCAGGCTTCAATACAGTGGTTCTCATTCCTTTTTAGACTTGGGGAGCCCCTCTTTAGACTTGAGGCACGCATTGGAAAATGTTGGTTTTTTAGCTTTGTTATTCATTTTTCGACTAAAGAAAAGCAATAGAGGAGGTTTTCTGTTGCAGAAGACTCGGAAAGATCACAATAGGTCAGAATGTTTTTAACACAATGGATTCTTATTTGAAATCTCTGGGTTTATCTTGTGAATCATGTTGGCACCATGGAGCATCTTTGAAAGGATCTCAAAACATCTCAGTACTGTGGCACCCTGCTTATGAATCCCTGTTCTCAGTTTATAGGTGCATTGGGGCTGGGAGAGACTGCAACAGTTTGCACTGTGCATGGTAGACAGGTGTGTGTGTGTGTGTGTGTGTGTGTGTGTAGCCAAGAATATGATGAATACTCCTCTCTGAAAAATAATGTGGGTTTATGGACAGCTGCAAGATATGGATGGCAGCTACAGATGCTTTACAGAGAGGACAGAACCCCCATCCTATCCCTAGATTGATCAGATTCTAACCCAGACATGCTATGGTGGGTAATAGTTCTGTAGAGGACAGGAGCAGATATCTGTGATGAGATCACTGTTAGAAAGCTTTGCAGGGGGATGCAGAGCATAACGGTAGTTGAAATTTCTTGGTTTGTTAGAAGTGATGGGTTTATTCTAGCCAGAGGGGACAGCATGATTGCAGCTTGATGAGGAGAGCCATAGGGACCAATGGGAAGAAAAGCTGAGAACGGGGAGAAAATGAGTATAAAGGTGTATGTGAGGGCAATGTAGGGTTTGGGTCAAGTCCAGAGATGTCTCATGTAGTTTTTTTTAAGTTTGTGGGAATTTGCACTCAGCACCTTGGGATGTGGCTCATGATTGGTTATTTCAGTGATGGGCATTCTTCCTTTTAGGTGTAGAGCTGGGCTTGTTCTGTCCTTCCAGAGAGATCCCAGGGATCTGCAAGCCCAGGTATACCAGTAAGCTTAAATATGTTATCCTGTAAATGCTGTGATTTACGAGAAAAGCAAAGTGTAACATGCCTGAATAGCTTGAAAGAGGGGCTCCATGAGCAATCGGTACGTTAGTCTGCAGTGTTTTGGAGGACCTAAGTTTACAAGCTGATAATTCTTTTTAGACGGCATAATTTTCTCATGTAGAACAGTGACTTTCCAGGCCTTTGACATTTTGATCTGAAACTCCTCCAGACTGAGACAGCTTGTTGGCTGTATGGTGAATTTGAATAATTTTTTAGAATTATAAGAACATAGTAGGCAAGATTTGGATTATGTTACATAATGAAAATAGAAATGGGTAAGTCTTAAATCATTGAATCATTGATTTCTTTTTTTTCATGAATTTGCTTTCTTCCCTGCAGCCTGGGGTTCAATATTTTGCTTTATGGACTGGGCTCAAAGAGAGATTTGTTAGAGAAGTTTCGTACCTCTTTGCTTCAAGATTCAGTTCACCTTGTGGTCAATGGTTTCTTCCCCAGCATCACTGTGAAATCAGTAAGTGTAACAAAAGCTCAAGGGGGTCCAGTACAAAATATTTCCTATAGACTGCAGGCAGATTTCTCAGTGCCTAAGCACAGACTCCCATCTGAAAAGCATTCTCCTTGTTTTTCTCTTCTTGAAAAGCATTCTCTTATTGTTTTGCCCATTCTATCTTGCTCTGATTCTAGCCATTGGAACTGCATTACTGCAGATCCCTACTGAAATAAAGGAAACTGGTGATACATAGCACAGCCCAGTGTGAAAAATGGGTCAGTAGCTCTGGTGCAAATTGTGGCTTACCTTAGCTGCTGCTAGGACAGTGGTTCTCAATTGTTTTTTGTACCAGGACCCATTTGTAAAGATTGGCCACTCCCAACCCAGTGTCCCCAGCCCCCCCAGTGTGTGGGGGGCCTCAAGCAGCCCCCTGTAGGCTGGAATTCTGTCAGCCTGCAAGGGAAAAAGCCATGGTTTTCCACATTTTTCTCTAAAGGAGAATCCATTTTTAAAGTTTGCTCACGACCCTTTCATATATTCTTGCAACACACTTCTGGGTCGTGACTCACAGGTTGAGAAACACTGCTTTAGGGGTATGCACCTTATGCAGCTCCACTGCAATTGGCTACTGATAGTAGGAGTCAAGGTATCTCCTGGGTGGCAGTGAAGGTCTAACTTCTACAGACTTGACAGGTTACAGCTACAACTATCAGAAAACCCTCATGATGATAGTGACTTTTCACTCATCTATTGTAGGTTCTGAGCTCCATAACAGAAGAGGTGCTGGACCATGTGGGGACTTTCCGGAGCCCTCTGGACCAATTAGACTTCATTATGAAAAAATTTAAAGAAGGTAAAGTGACTGAGCAGATATTCCAAACCTCGGACTCTGCTTGATATTAGAAAAGCTTTTAAATGTCTGGTGTCTTCCTCATTACACTGATCATTTTCCACATGCACACACTATTGTGATCTCTGGATTGACTCCAGTGGTTCTGTTCCTTGTCTTATGGTTTTATGTGTTTTCTAAAAACAGGCATGACATAAATAGTACTTTTTGGGTGGGGTGTTTGTTGGAGGGTGTGAAATGTAGTGTGTGTGTGTCAGTTGTCTGCAAATATGGTATTCCCGCGTTTAGATTTTAGCAGGTGAGAGTAAACTAAAGGTATGCTGCTAAGGAGAGGAGAAAATGAGCATTCTGCCCAGGAATAAAGGTCTTAAACCCTTCTTTGAAGTTTACTGCTCTTTTGTTGAGCACTAAGTCTGTTTAATTCACTTTTGTTGGAGAAATTTTGACTGCATTTCTAAAAAGCTGTGTGTTTCATGCATAGAACAGAGCATGGTAAACTTAAGTTTTTATAGTGGGTAGGAGAAGGAAGTTTTTAATGGTTGCTTAAGAGCCTGATCCAGCACCCACCGAGATTAGTAGATCGGGGTGGTCAGCCCACAGTCTGCACGTACCACAAGTGACAGTTACTCAAGAGGTCATGCAGGGTTTGCTGTGCTGAGGAGGGGAGAGTGGGACCATCATACTGGGTTCAAATCTGAAGAGAAGGATCAAGCAAGTATCTGTTTAAGAATGGGCTTAAGGAACAGAACTCTTACAGGTTTTGAGCTTCTCTAGCCCTTTCCATTAAAAATGAGTGTCGCAAGTGTCAATGATTTAAGTGTCACACCACCCTGTGAGGTACAAGTGCTGTTGTGTGTGGCAGGGGAGCCCCAGGTGCTCAGTAAAGGGAGGTGCCGCCATGGAAGCAAGGAACAGAGCTAGGTCAGGATGCTGCTTCCAGAGGAGGTGTCAGGTGTCACTACCAAAAGCCATGTTAACTCTTCCCTAGCTTTGCATCTGCTGCCAAATTCAGGGTTTTGGATCCTCAGTCACCATATAAAAACTGACGGGACTGGTTATGTACCTTTGGTGCTTGTAAGCCCTTAGAGTAATGCAGAATTAATGATAGTTGTCTTGAACACCTGATGTGAAAGGGTGGCATGGATCAGCACGCTTCAGGATCAGAAGGCAGGAATTTCACAGCCCTGGGGATGAGGTTTCCTCAGCCACTGCACTATGGAGGAGAATGGGGCAGATGGAGACATCTATCTGTTTTTTGGCCCTCTCATCTTCTGAAGTTTGCTGCATGCCTAACTCCAGTTCACAATATGATGGAGCAATTGCTGGAATTTCTGTTCCTCAGACCACTTTTTTCCTGCTTATCCACATGTACATCTAGTGAGGCTGTCAGGAATGACCTTGAGGTGAGAAATCTCAGAACCACTAGCAACGATATTTACAAAATCATGGATGACAGGTAAAGGCCGAGAGGGCTGGAGAAGGGCTTACATAGTATCTGTCTCTTAAAAAAGAAGGAAAAGGACCTTTATAGAATTATAGACCAGTCTTCCTTTGACACACAGGAAGTTACTAGAGCGAATTTTAAAATGTTCAGCTTTTAAACAGCCTGAAGGAGAAAGTGGTTATCAGTAGCAGCCAACATGTATTTAAGAACAACTCGTGCCAAAGCAACATGATTTTATTTTTTGATGGGATAACCAGCTTGCTGATTCAGAGGAAAGCAGTGGATATAGTATGCCTTGACTTCTGTAGTGCTTTGAATGCAGTCTCATGTGACATTCTTATAAGTAAACTGGAGAAATGTGGACTAGAAAGTATTGCAGTTAGGTGAATACATAACTGGCCAAGTAACCCTTAGTAAATGGATTAATATCAAAATGGCAGGAGGTTTCAAGTAAGGCTCCAGAGGGTCTGTTCTGGGTCCAGTGCCCTTGAACATTTTTATAAATGACTTGGATTTGGTAATAGAGCATCCTGATCAAGTTTGCAGGTGGTACAAAATTGGGAGGTTTTGGAAACACTTGAAAATAGGATTAAAATTCAAAAGGGTCTTGATTAAATTAGAGAACTGGGTTAGAGAGAAAAAATGGAGAGAGAGGTACAGTGATATGCCTCAGAAAAAACAACCAAATGTACAAACACATAATGAAAGATAACAGGCTAGGAAGTAGCCCTGTCAAGAAGGATCTGGAGGCTTTGGTGGATCTGAATCTCAATGTAAAACACCAGCGCTGTGACCAAAAAGCAAACGTTGTTATGGGTCACACTGATGGAAGTACTGTCATCAAGATGCAGGAAAATATCATACCATTGGAGTATTTTAAGAAGGATGTAGAGAAACTAAGTTCCCCAAAGATGAGTTGCAAAGATGATAAAAGGTTTGGAATGTTTTTCTGAGAAAAGGCTGAGAGAACAAGGTATGTTTAGTGGGGAGAAAAGAAGATTAAGAGGGGGACATGATAACAGTTTTCAAATATCTGAATACCTGCTATGAAAGCACCATTGTGATAGTGGGCAGGATGATAGGCAATGGGTTTAGACGTCAGCAAAGCAGAGTTAGATGAAGTCTCAGGAGAAACTTTTTAACTGGCAGAACCACAAGACAGTGGAAGCTGCCTTAAGAAATCATGGAATCTCCTTCATTGGAGGTTTTCAAGAAAAAGTGAGGTGTAAGCATCTGTGTGGGATGGTTCAGGAATAGCAAATCCTGCATCTGTGCGAGGACCCTTGAGGTCCCTTTCAAACCTGTGATTCTAATGTAGGAAATGAAAATTCAGGTTCAAAAGCAATATTAAATATGTCTTATTGCACAGTTCATGCTAAATTCTACATTTAGCAATGTACCCTATACTTTCTGAGGTACCAGTGGCTATATTTTGTGTTATACATACATGTGTGCATGTGAACCCCATGTTGCCATTGGAACAATGACTCTTCTATTTTTGTTGTTGAAATGTTCAATTTCCATCCTGTAGTTTTACCCTGGTGACTATATTGAAGGGGAGTGTGAATGGGAAAGGCTGGCCAGCAGCCTGTCACCATGTGTAGCTGTTCTTACAACTTCATGAGTACTAAACTCTAATTGGTCACAATGATGGGTTAGTGGACTTCCCAGCATCCTGGGCAGTCAAACAGCTAATTGTTTTATGAACAAAATTGGGTGTGTAATTTGATGTTCCCATTTCAGGGATACTCCACAACTCACCACATAGCTGTTCCATTAGGAAGATTAGCAGCAAGTGAAGTTTTGAAGATTTAAAATTCACCCTTTGCCTTCTCTATGCCAAGAAGCCACAGTTACTTCTTAAAGGGTTTGATGGAAGAAACCTCAGTAGGCTTTGGATCACATCACAAAAAGAAATTGTATTTTCATTGTTTGAAATTTATCTTGCGTGCATAACTTAAAAGCAGGAGGGAGTTTAGGTCCAATGTATACAGCTAAGATGAAATCAAGCCATATTGAGGCTTATGTGGTGGGAGAAACCTCCCTAAGGTTTGTTGTCTAGCTGTAATTTGATTGACAGACAACGAGGGTAAAGAAAGACAGCTGTTTATTTGCTCGAGCAAAGACCATAAAGCCAGCAAAAGGCAAAATGCCCCCCCCCCCCCCCCCCCCCGGGGGGGGGTTTTTTTTCTTTTATGGTTAACAAAAAAAGCAATACTTGGGCGGTGCTTTTCAAATCTTTGTAACAGCATATTTCTATTAAGCTGAACTAGCACTTTTTTAAAAGCTAAAAGTTAAGTAACAGTAACATTATAATATGTTAGCAAAACCTTACACAGTAGTAGATACTTCTCAAGGACACAACCAGTGCACCCAGAACAATGGTTTCCCTGTCTTATCTTACTTCTTGCTGTAGCTGATTTTTTAGCACACAGACACAGATCCACTTTTTAACTCAAAAAATGCTTAATACAGTTAAAATGATTACTTGACACAAGCAAAGGCTTGGCTATCAATCTGCCTTGTGGTCAGCTGCATTGCTAGGCCACAGGTCATGCCTTGTATTCAGCTGTAAAGCTAATACTTCTTAATACTCTAAATTATTGTAAACCTAACAGCATGCTTATCAGAAAACTATTCTATTTCAGGGTAATAACAAACCTGCGCACTACACTTAGAACTAGAAGATGTGAAAATCTTTAGTCCAGAAGAAACTTTTGGCAAAGAGAAAGGAAGGTCATGAAAGTAAAGCCTGAGTTGGCAGCAACAGCTGTAGTGGTGATGAGAGTTACGGTGCAAGGTGCTTGCCTAATGCAGTACAGATAGTCTGAAATACAGCATGACTGGCACTCACCTCTAATGTGAGGAAGCCCTTTCTTAGAGAAAAACAGTATGTAGGATTTGACTAAGTTGGATTCTTCTCAAGCTACAGTGGGGAAGAAGCAGCTCTTTATTTCTGCCTCCTTACTGTGACTGCTCCCTTTCTGTTTTTCCCCTTGTAGATTCTTCCTTGGAGCTCTATCTCCTCATCCATAACTTGGACAGCCAGATGTTGAGAGGAGACAAAAGCCAACAAATTCTTGCCCAGTTATCCTCCCTGCCCAGCGTCTACCTCATTGCCTCCATTGATCACATCAACGCTCCACTCAGTGAGTCCTCCACAGCCTTTCTGTGTCTTTCAAAAGAAAAAGATCCCTTCTGGCATTAAGTGCACTTTGAAAATGGCTTTTGTTGCTTTATCTCTGTCCTTAGCTTCACACAATAGACTTGGTGGAATTGGTGTTTTAGTAGCATAGCAGAGCCTTCCTGTGACAAGGCTGTACATACAAAGCTAGCTGCCTGTCTGCTTGCTGTCAAATTAGCAGTAGAAAACTTCTGCTTCTCTGCACCACAAACTCGGAACACCCGGTTGTTTGACCTGGCACTGCCTAACGCTTGTGCTTGAAGCTGTGTGTAAATTAGTGTTGGGATTGTGTCTTGTTCTGACTATAAATGGCTGGGTGAATATATTGCATGGTATAAGTAATAACTTCCAAAGACTATGCAGGCGCCTTCAGGTGGCTTGCATTTTATGCTTGGGAGAAACTAAGTCCCCCAATGCTCTCTACTCTCCTTTTCCTTTTCTGCCTCTCCAGTGTGGGATCAGGCCAAACAAAGCCTCTATAACTGGCTTTGGTATGAAACGACCACATACAGTCCCTATCTGGAAGAAACATCCTATGAAAACTCACTCTTGGTGCAGCAATCAGGGTCCTTGGCATTGAGCTCTCTCACACATGTCCTGCGCAGTCTCACTCCCAATGCAAGGTAAGACATAACTATATACAGTGGTGGCATTTAAAAACCTTAATGAGATTGGGGCCCCTCACTGAGTAGGCTCTGTACATGTAACAGGATAGACCCAGTCCTAAGGTTAATACATTCAACACAAGCAAGGTTAGGCAAAAAAAAGATGGAAAGGAAGAACCAGGGTGCAGGGATTAACTTGTCCTGTGTCAAATAGTTTGTGGCAGAGCTTGAATTGAACTTTGACCTCCTGTGCATCAGTGCAGTGTTTCACCTTGCACACCTGTTTTCCCTCTTATGCCCTCATCCATGAAAAAAATGGGAAGACAGGTCTCCCAGCAGTTATGGATAACTGGTTGGCTGGCTAAAGTTTTAAAGCACCTAGTACTGAAGCTATGGCACAATGTGGCTGCATAGTGACTTGGACTGGTAATCAGACTCCTAATATCATCACTGGCATATGAGGAACTGTGGTCTCTCATGTCATTTTCTGGGTCAGTGGCATATCCCTTGTCAACTTGCTCATTCACAAGCATTAAACAGGTATTGCAAAATCCACTAGTTTCCCATAGAGGCAATACATAAAAGCAGGTTTGGGGTGTTTTTGGTACTCTGCCTCCTTGTGAGATTTGCTCCCCCTCCCTGTTGGCTGTCATAGATTATCCCTGTGGCATCTACTATAAATGCTTATGTAGAAAAGTAACTTTAGGAGTAGGTGTATATGTCTTCAGCTCCCTGCAGCAGTGCAGTTCAG